CCGCACCGGACTATAAGCCGCATGGTTCAAAGTTCAGGAAAAAAATCGTGGCTTATAGTCCAAAAAATACGGTACTCAAGTAAAGTACAAATAACCAAAGTTTGTACTTAAGTACAGCAACAAAGTATTTGTACGTAGTTACTTTACAACTCTGTGAGTGATTACCAATCTTCTGAAGACCTGCTGAATAGCAGGGAAACAAGTAAAACATGCTGGATAGGGGGTCTCGAGGACCAGGGTTGGGCAGCCCTGATCATGACGGCGGGTATATTTAACTGTAAGGATACAACATTTTTAATAAAAACTTCTTAAACAGTTCATCACAACATTTATGGAAACTGGTTTTCATTCTTACCAGCAAGTTATACTGGAGTTAAAGAAAGCAGAACTTGAAAAACCTTTTTGCCCATTCTTCCGTTAAACCTGACAAAGTTCTTATCCTCATCGCAGAGAATCTGTTTGTCTCCCTTGTTTTGCTCCCTGTAGTACTAACCAGCTTGTTGTTGTGCTGGCTGTCATCCCCCAGACACTTTCATCCAGAAAACCAAGCAGCGCTACAACAGCCCTCGCTCCCTGTCCACAAAGATCAACCTGGCCGACATGCAGACAGAGATCAAGCTGCGACCGCCCTATCAGCTTTCCCCGGAGGACCTGCAGGCTATCAATGGGTTCTCTGTGAGCACATCCTCTAAATACAAAGGCATAGGTACGACTCAAGCTGCTCTGCACACACAAGTCTTTTTCACAGTTTTTTTAACTGTAGAACTTTTAATGTGTGTTCTGAGGAGTTAGAAATAAGAAAGCTAATCACTACATGATTGGAGTGTATGTATAAGAATTATGGATGCAAGATATCAATTAACAAATTAATATAAAGTTGATTGATTTATTGATCGACCAGGGTTTCCTGCAGCACATTGTAACGCTGCCTGCCAGGTTAAGCTGTGATTGTTTACTCAGAGCGGACATCGATGCGCGGAGCATGTGCTAAATTAGTAAAGAGCTATCGTAATGACTCAGTGTGAAAAAAATCAGTCCTGTTAGGGCTGCTCGATTATTGCAAAAATGATAATCACGATTATATTGATTGAAGTTGAGATCTAGATTATTTAACAAAATTATTCATTCACTTTGATACCATGAATTTATTGAACAAAAACAATGGCTGTTAAACAATGTTTCCCTAAGGATTTCAAATATTTTTGAAATAATTAGACAGAGTTTCACTCTGTGGGAGAAGCCTGCAGCATACTGCTGACAGTGGCACTGGATTCACAACACATGTACACTCACCGGCCACTTTATTAGGTACACCTGTCCAACTGCTCGTTAACACTTAATTTCTAATCAGCCAATCACATGGCGGCAACTC